GTATTAAAATGATAAAAATATTTACTCTAATAAAAACTGTTGTTTAAGACATTTTCTTTGGTTAGAGATTCCATGTGAATAATTAAATCTGTGTTGAAGCAAGACAATTTCTTAGAACTTAATGCTTCAAAAAATTGAATGCTGGGATTCCTAGGAAAGAAATTATCCTTAAAAAATAATTCCACAAAAAAATTTTAAATTATATTCTTATAATGACTTCTTAAATAATTAATAATTGTTATAATTATTAAATATAATGCTTACTTATTTTTTACAAAATGTACAGTAATACCCTTTATTTACAAAATACCATATTGAACAACTATATTGAAGCTAATAAATAACATCATTGTATTGTTTCTTATTAACTATGTGTCATTTTTCCTTTTCAGCTTTCTGTTATTATGTTTTTAATCCTATTTCAGACAAAGTGTACTAGTGTTTCAAGGACAGGAAGGCAAGAATTTTTAAACTCGGTCAATAAATTCATGATCAACTGAAAATTCATAAGGACTGTTTCGGGTTAAAACTTTCTTTCAGAATAGAATAGTGTACATAAAAAAAGTGAAATGCAAATTTTAAATAGATATTATCACCGTTTCAGCCCTTAAATAACTCCTAAATGTTTTGTTTATTGCTTTTAAAAACAGATCAGATGCTTCTTGAAATTTTTGCTTAAGAAAAAGTGGAAAGGCATTATTATTATTTATTTATACCAAGCGCACGTTTAATTTCTTTGAGATCAAGAAGATATTTTTAAAAAAATGTTTATGTAATTTTTTGTTTCCATAAATCAGATGAAAAATAAGTCACATTTGAAACCTACCCCTTTTCAAAACAGCTATCCACGTATAATCATAAAAATCTTTTTTTTCTCCCTCCCTTGAAATTAAGATATTCAGTTACCAAATTTTATTTCGCTGAATATTTAACTTTACTTGAAAAAGCATATTTGTATACACTTTTAAGTATATATTGTTCATTCAAAAAACGAAATCTTTCCAGAAAATAACATCCATTTTAAAAACTAAGTAAATTTCAGCATTAAATATGCCTGAAAAGTTAAAATTTTGAAATCTCCTTAATATTAAACTAGAGTTTATTTAAAGAGCGAGTTTAAAAGTCACATCATGTTAAATTGATCAAATTTGGCAGAAATAATAAAACAGCTGTTTTTCAGAATAATTATACAAATATTATGCTAAATATCTATTAATAAAAAAATTATATTTAAAAAAAATAATATCTGCATGTAAATGAAGAATATAGAAAAAATGTTGAAAGATTTAAAAATTTTTTAATTTATGACAAAAACATAGAAAATCAGAAATAATATCAAATGCAATCGAACTATAAATATTGCTTTTCAAATTTTTCAGGAATCTCACAGAAAGAATGAATATTGTATCAGATATTTTTATATGGATTTTATTAATAGCAGTAAACCAAGCTGCACTGAAATTCATATGACCTAGAGATTTAGGTAATTTAGATTAAACGTGAATAATAATTAAAAAAAAGAGCAGATAAATTTTAAAACCAAGTTGTTTCAAAATAAGAGTCTTTTAGGAACGAAAACTTTTAGGATAGTATTCGCATGTGTAACACTGCAGCATTCAGACGGTCATCACGGAGAAAGTAGTCTTTTGTAACTTTCTTGACAGCTCACATCTACGGGTACTAATATTTATGGTAGTAATCCATCTCACTTACAGTCGAAACCCTTGATCAAGTATTCTGGAAAGGGAAAAAATTAACAATAGCAGGCATTTTTCAGAGGTTTAGGGTTATTTTCATTTTAGGGTTCGACATTTTAAGGGAAGCTCGATCCAAAATTAATGACATTTTTAAAGATATTTGTAAAAAAATCACTCGACAGGCTAATAGTTAATATAATTTAAAACAACAATTGCTTTTTTCTGAACTTATGAAGCCACTTAAATTTGCTTAAATATTGGTTTTGAGAAGTCTTTTACTGTATTCATTTTGCCGAATTCATTCATTTTGCCGGTTAACCCTTTTGCTCTCAGTGACTTAACAATGAAAACACCTATTCAGAATTCTATAGAAAGCAGGCCAATGTTATCTTGTACCAGCTCATGCACAAATAAATAGAACAGAATACCAACTTCTGGCATACAGTGAAAATTTTAGGATAAAATGCATATCGTCAATAACAGCATTTTCTTTGTTCAATACTACATGTACAATGTCATAATCTTGCTTTTGGCACATTTTGTGTAATAAAATTTTAATATCACTAGTGCAATGGCCAGTAAGTTATTTTCTCAATGTTGGTAGCTTTCTATACTTTTGATTTTGTTGACACAACAATTACGAATTTGTACATCTTGTTCTCGATCAGGAGTAAAAGTTAATCCTCACAATTAAAAAATTTTTAATTTCTGTAGTGATAGGATTCCTAGCATTGTGAAAATGTAAACAAAAATGTGAATACATCAATACATATGGGAAAAAATACATACGTTTTGTTCCATCTGAGATTTGTCAACAAGAAGTAGCACATATGCTAAAATATAGAACACCTTTTCAATATTGTTTATCTAATAGAAAGGCTGAACCTAACTGCACAAAATGGCAAGACACAGTTTGCAATGTTGGACTCAAGCTGAATGATAAAAACTGTTTTCTAGAGTATCATAAAAAATAATCAAGACATAGAGTCCTAAAGGTACTGTAGTGTACCCATCATATTTTTGATAATAATTAAGAAAAATGAAATAAAAATTTTGTTATTTATGTTAATTATTATCAGCACCTTTCCGTTTTGCCAGCGCAGGCGATAAAGTTGCCGAAAATGGTACAACCGATGCCAAACAGAATATCCTTGCTAGTAACCTTTTACGCCTCATTTCCAAGATATGTCGCAGCCATGTCTTATCAGATTAATTGTTTCTTTCAATACTGGCTTAAAATTGCATAGAATTTTTACCAGATAGTTCAATTTTATGCCCTACGGCCATTTGCGGTAGTTAAGTCAATTAGGATGCAATCACACCACTTATCCGAAGGCGAAAATACAGAAAAGGCAAAGTAAAGGGTAAAATTCATCAATTCTAACGCGAATGCACTAGTGAAGTAAAGCACTGCAGTTTTACAAAATTTTTTAGCAAGCTATTCGTACGAATAAAAATTATTCTTACATTTAAACTTCTATTTCATAGTAAGATTTAACTTGAAATTAATGTAGAATGAACTAATAACTGGATAACTTGAAATTAATGAAAGAATTAGATTTTTGTAGCTTAGTTTACGAGAGATGAAATCACTTGGAGTCATGTGATACCAACCGGCAAATCAGGATGCTGAACCATGAAAGCATAGTAAATTCTTAACTTAATTTTGTTTTACAAATTTATTGTCTTTACTTATTGCCTTTTTACAAAATTTTAAACAATATTAAAATGTTTATGCCTTCAAAATAAAAAATTCTTAGAATTAACATTTGTTAACATGTTTTATGTCTATACCGTGTGTTGTCGCCAATAAAGTCTGCTTGATGAGATTTGCACCGGCGAAACAGAAAAGTACCTTATTATCAATACGTTACGCATGCAGCAAGCATGTAAACTTTTTTGGCGAATCTTCGGATTATGGTAACTTGGCGATTTTTTGGCAACCAACCCTGCTACAGCAACCTGCTAGTTGTTTTTTTTTTTTTAAACGCAATTTTGTTTTCATGAAGTAAAGGGAAGGTTTTTTTTTTTTTTTACTCAACATTTTTCCAACAATCTGCTAGCCGAATTACGCTTATGCTAGAACTTTTATGGAACAAATGTGCTTAATCATGACAAAGATTAGATGCGAAATTGTTTCCAAGTGCTTATTAGCTAAAATCACGATCGGAATTTTCCAGAAAGTAGTGGAACAAACATGCACAGAAATTTGTTTTTACAGGGCAAATTTATATATGAAACATGTAAATAATTTTTCTCATAAATTAGAAAAATTTGCACAAAAATGCAGGAAAATTTTGTGAATCTTTGAAGTCAGTAAAAAGGACATATATGAAATTACCTGATTGCTAAAAAGTATGTATACTATGCAAGCTTTTATATGTTCAGCTTGCATGTACCCTTTCCAAGGATAAACATTTGCATGTATAAATTAAATAAAATATGCAAGAAATTATATTAATTTTCTTTTCCCTCTAAATTATCCATTATAAAAGTCACCTGTGAATTTAGAAGGCAAACATTAAAAATGGTTTTGGAACTGTGTACTTCTCAGATTATTGCTAAAGTCCTAGCTAGTAAAATTTATCTCCTTACCAAAATGCCACCAAACTACCTGTTACCATATTCCAAAGATTAGCCACTTTTTACTGACTACTACTTGTTTTAAGTATACTGACTCTCATAACTTTGAAAATACAGTAAAAAGTCTGCAATCCGGACTCGTCAGGACTTCAGCGATTCTGGATTAAAGGTTTTTCCGGATTATAGATCATCAATTTAAATCTGTTAAGATGGCATGCAGAAATTATACAGTTAAAAATATAAAACCATAATTTATGAAATAAAGAGCAATTATGATCTAAAGTTTACTTTATTAAACATTTCTTTCAATGTAAGTTGTTTAAGTTGCTTCGTTTTTTGTGCTAATACTTTCTCTTTAATTCTATAAATAGACATAATTTCTTGTTCAGTTACAGAGTTCCACTGTTCAAGTCCTGTAATTGCTGTGTCGAGAATACAGACTAACTTGTCAATCAAAATTTTTTTTGTTTTCAGTAACCTCTCTGTGCACTTTCTTCACTATCGTAAGTGTGCATGGGTAAATGCTTTAGTAGCAGACGTGCGCACTAAAAGTGCATGCGTAAGTTTGTGGCTTTGACGTCTGGATTATAGATCATTCCAGATAATGGACGTCTGGATTACGGACTTTGTACAGTACTTGCTATTCTGTAGCAAGTAGCTGGCAAGTTTTAATCTTTTTTTTTAATGCAAAAGAAAAATGAATCTAAAATTAATACATACGAAATTATTTCAGTTAAATTTTCAGCATTCACTGTTACACCATCAGACAGAAAACCCTGAGGGTATTCTCCGTCTTTTGACAACAATCTTTCAAGAACAGCTTTGGCTGCAGCATGTTTTGCCTTCTTCTTGCTCTGACCAGTTGCAGTGGCTACCACTTCATTAACTTGAACCCTATACATGAAAGTAGGTGCGTGGACAGCTCCTTCAACTGACATCAGTTTATAATCAGGTGTCATGCCTTGTTGAGCACATAATTCCTGTAATAAGCTAATCGGAGTCTTTTGGGCAGCATTCGTCATTTTGATGCTGGAAAGAAATAAAAACTTTCTGAAAACAAAGGTATCTTATATCTATTACTTTGAACTAGTATAAAATTATTATGAAAATAACATAAAAATTACAATCTAAAATTTTTAAACAGTTTTGTAGAGGCCATAAGAGTTTTTAAAGTAGGACACATGAAAAATTAACTGTGCCTTCACTGGGATTCAGACTACATGTTTTCCAATCTATCTGGGTTAACTAACCATTTACACCATGAAAGCACACATAAGAGAATGCAATAATTTTTTATATATTTCCGTTTAAGCATATCACCTGTCAAGTACTATATTATTTCATTTCCATCAATTAAAATAATCAGAAAAAATATGATATTAAGCATATGTAAGTAAAAATTTAAAGGTTAAACATGATATTTAGTACATACAAATTAAAGTTAACACAAAAAACATGCTAAGCACATGAAGTAAAAAATAACACAAAAGAACAGTAAATGTCAGTTATTGAGATCTATCTATTTCCAAGTAATTCTATTATTACAAAAGATTAAAACACTTGTATACTAATATATAGCAATATTTCATTTCTTTTTTACAATATTTAGGTGCCCCGTTTTCTCCTAAAACTGTAACATTAAATAAATTGCTGGTAACATACAATCTTATAGGGAAACAGTCTTAAATCCCAATTAAAATTTTTATAGCAGAATCTTGGCAATTACTTTTAATTTCAGACTAAAACAAATGTTTGACTATGTGATTTTATAAACTTTCTTTGTGAAGACCACTTTACAATAACTTTACTTTTGAAAATAAAGTGCGAAAATCACACAAAAGAATATTAAATAAGTGAAGAATATTATTACACATGCAAATGGCGAAAAGAAAAATGATGAGTTAGTGAAGGGCAATGAAAAAGAGCAAAGAGAAAAGTTATTACTCCATTTATGAGATTACCAGCTCTACAGGATTATCGCCATTTTTGAGTTACATTTACTGGGTTCTTTGCAGTATCGTTCCCATATCAAGTCCACACGATATATTATTTATGGTACAAGAGGGAGAGACATGAGATTGGCACAAATTTAGTATAAAAATCAAGGTACTTCCTTAGATAACAGGAACCTTGAAACTTTACAAATGAGGAGATTTCTGTGAGAAAACTAGAAGGCACGAGGTGACACCATTTCACAGGATCTCCAAACTCATTTTATAACAAATAACTGCACTTTATAATGTATCATTCAGGTGATTATACTATTTGTAAATCAAATTCTAATGTAAACTATTTTAGCCTTTAATTAGATATTCTATTCTAAATTTTACGTTCTTCAGGTAATTTCAATTTTTAATTTTCTTATGCTTTTATGTAGAGAATAATGGAGGAAATAATGGAGTGGAGAAAAGCTTGTATTTATTAAAGTACTTTTCAAAACAATGAAAATAAAATTAATGATTAATAACAGTATTTGTGAGGATAAACATAGTAATGCAAATATTAACTCATTAAATATTGCTTCAATCTTTATATAAGAATCTACAAATGTCTACAGTAGATTAAGAGATCACAGATCAAATTAGATTTTATAAAGCAAAAGTCAATTTAAAAAATAAAAAGAAAAAGTACAATTCTGCTGAAATAAAATTTAATAAGAAAACTTATTCTGAAAATCATTCGAGGTGGGGTAATAAAATTTGCCTAATTTTAGTTTCCTGAATTCAATAAATTTAATTTATTTCTGAGAATTTTTCTTAGTTAATGCTAAAAATTAAAAGCCAAGAGATGTAATGTTTAACAGGAAGAAATGGCAGTTATGCCTTAATATTATAATCCCCATTTTTTTAAACACCAAATTCACTTCAGGATTATCATCTAGTCCATGTTTGTTTCTCACATATACTTTTGCAGCTGCCATATTCCTACAATTGTTTTTAATACAGCCTCTTTCATTCTCCCAAGGACTTTCACCACATCAACACAGAAAAAAAAAAAAAATAATAATAAATACATAAATAAATAAAAATCCGAAAGCTTTCCGATTTTACATTACACCCAAAGCGGTGTTTTTTTGATGTTTTTGGTATCCTGTGGAGGTTACCTTTATTTATTAAATACTGTATTCTTTGCACTTAAACCATAAAATTCAATTCAACAGTAATATCGCAAAATAATTTTAAAATGAGCATATCTTTAGAATTTCCAATACAGTCTCCAGATTGGAGATAAAAATGTTTTTTCGTACAGTGTTGCCATTGCTCACATTGAAATCGTCGAGTTTGTTAATAAAAAATTCTTTGATGTCGGACAAAATATGAACTAGATAATAAAACAAATTACAAATTGAAAATTCGAACTTCTAGATGCCTATATTCAGTGGAGGATTATGTTATTCAAAACTGGATGGCTCTAGGTACTGTTGTTTTATCACAATGCGAGAACCATATAAACATTTATGAAGATTATTCATTATTTAATTTCTTTAAATATAATACATGGTCACTCTTTTTTTTTTTTTTTTTTTTTTACCATGAGGCCACTTTGTGGCCAGTTGGGTCTGACTGTACCCCCAATGTATTACAATGTACTTACATGGCTGTATCAAGAATCCTATCTTGTTCATTTTCGATTTTTCAGCTGGTGGTGGTTCGGTAAAACCATCGAAACTAGTCCTGTGAAGATTTTGTAAATATAACGCTGATTTTTGTTGTTTGACTTCTGAATTAGTATTTATTAGCAAATAAATTATTAAAACTAATGCTTAGATTGGACATGAACGTAAAGGAAAATGCGAAATAAATTGCTTATGATCTTAAGAAACGATACAGAAAATGCTGTTTTAAATAGGCATAAAATATTAAATGATACATTTAAAATGTGGAGCAAAAAAGAAAGATGAAAAAAGAATTATGAGATGCTTTTGAATCCGCAATGAAGAAAATCAAAATGGCTGATCAGTATCACCGAGTTGAAAATTTTACTCAAGAAGACTATCGGGCATCAACTTTAAGCTCACACGAACAGTCATCAGAAATTTGCAAACATTTAAATGCAACATCAGACATTTCAAATATAATTTTAAGAATTAAAAATGCACTAGAAAATATTTCGGCTGAAATTACTAAAGAAGGCAAACTATAAAAAAGATTTCAGCTTACAGTCATAAATAGTGATGAAGGTCAGACAATATTCAAACCGCTTTTAGATTTAAAAAAATGAAAGATAGCCGTCCGATTCTGGCATTATCCAGAAATTCTTACATAGGATAAGAAAGGATTTACTTTAAATTTTGATCTTTGTAGCCAAAAAGATACCGATTTCCCCCAAAATCAAGAGAGCAGACCATTTTCTTCCGTTCATTATAAAATGATTAATAACTCCAGTTTAGAGGACAGATTTTGCTTTGTTATTCACTTGAACTTATACAAAGACTAATTAATTGAATAATTCAATGGTTAATTTAAATAAGGACAGATGTGGTTGACAGGAATACAGCACTGGCAAACATTACCCATAATAGAAAAAAAAAAAAAAAAAAATGCGAGAGAAATTCTCATAATATCGCAAGTTATATTGAAAAGAAAAATTGGGAAGCAAATAACTGTACAGTCAAAAGTCATTAATCCGGACTCGTCGGGACTTCGGCGATTCCAGATTATAGATCAACAGTTTAAATCTCGTAAGATGGCATGCACAAATTCTAAAATTAAAAATATGAAACCGTATTTTAGGAAATAAAGAACAATTATGATCTAAAGGATATCAAAATTTACAAAAAAAGAAGCTTAATATTTATTTGTTTACTTTATTAAACATTTCTTTTAATGTAAGCTGTTTCGTTTTATGTGATAATACTTTCTCTTTAATTCTATAAATAGACATAATTTCTTGTTCAGTTAAAAAGCTCCGCTGTTCAAGTCCCGTACTTGCTGTGCCGAGAATACCAACTAACTTGTCAATCGAAATTTTTTCGTTTTCACTAACCTCTCTGTCACTTTCTTCATGTCTTTATCCATTTTTTGCAGCAATTCCACTTTTTGTTTGACGGACATCGAGACATACTTTCGTTTTATAGATCCTTTGGGAGCTCCAGAATCGGAAATTGACATAATCGAAAGTTCAAGTTTACTTTTATAAAATTGCTCTTACAGTCTGCAAAAAATAATAAGCTGCATCCAATTCGAAGATTAAGGAATAACGCAATCATCAACATTAACTGAAATAGATAATTGTATAATTTTAGCTTATACCGTCTGTTATACGTTAAACGCGCACGCGAAAACATATTCTGCACTTGCGCACATGCATATGCGCGTTCGTGTAAAGGTCTTACGCGCACGCGTAAACGCCTATGTGCATGTGTCAACGCGGCGCATGCGCAGAAAGTTTTTAGCTTTGAGGTCCGGATTATAGATCATTCTGGATTATGGGTGTCCGAATTAACGACTTTTGACTGTATTGATCAAATTTGGGAAAAAATTTGTAAAAGATGAAATCCTTTCATTTATCAAAAATTAACAATAGTTTTCACGGATACACAGAAAGCACCTCAGATACATACATTTAATCCAAATTTGCAGTTTTCGATGTCATTTTCAACTTGCCTTTAGGGATCAGTTAATTAAGTTAAAAATCATTCGAGGAAATAACTGAAGTCCAACAAAAAATGTGCATAATTTAATAGGCGGTACAAGGAAGTCATGAGTGTACATATCAGATTTTTAACTATTAATTTGATCTGACAAAAATCATTATCAAAATGTTGGCTCCTGGAAAGCTGGACTTTTTTGGAGGGCGTAGTACCATAAATTTATTGTGGGGGCAATAATTTTTTTTGCATAGGGACCCTAGAGTTCTAGTTACGCCACTGCTCTCGGTGGCTAGTGGTCGAAGGTCATCACTCTGAATTTCAAAGTTATTGGTCTATGTTTTATTACATGATTATTCATGCTCAATAAATTAATAATTCGAATTCTGCATAACATGTTAAATTATTAAATTCATTTAATTTTCTGTTTTGATATGTT